GGGATTGTCGGGTGTCTAGACGGACTTGGCAACACTGTACTAACCCACGGAGGAGGAGAGGGGGAAGGGGTGACTCAAATCTCCTCGCTCCAAGGTTATTGTTTCCACGTTCTATACAACCAAAACTTCTGAAAATCAACCACAGTCTCACAAACAATACTCCTTAAGTCTTACGTCTAACCCCTGAGGGATCGCTCGAACTAGAGAACGATAAAAGTTGAAGAAAACACAAATCTTTTTAAACCTCGAGAGACGGTGATTTAAATTTTTCTTCAGCCATAAGAGGACGTCGACGTAGTGTTTTCCTCATACTATATATTACACCTGCAACCCGTGGTGGTATAGGAATTAACCCCGAGTACAAACCCTCAGTAGGGGTAGGTGGGGTGGGAGATAGCCAAGGAGACATCGACTTTAAGTAGTCTCTGATGGAAAGGTCGATATATTAATCAAGAGTTGCTGGGAATTAATCTATCAGTCCTCTTGGTTCATTTGCATATGAATCGGAGTAACACAGTCCCCCGTCTTGCTTAACATAGGACCCTGGTGGTGGGTGGTATTGGTGGTAGTAGTGATGGTGGTGGTAGTGGTGATGGTGGTAGTGGTGATGGTGGTAGTGTGGCCCCGCGCGACTTAAAAGGTGCTACAAGACAACACTCACCAAAGACGACAACCCCGGAGTTAGAGAGTGTTTCATGTTAGGTGTGTGTGTTCATTTCGCCCGTGCGCACTGTTTCTGTGTCTTTTAATAGATTTATCTCTCTCTCTCTGTCTCACCTCTTACTCTCTCATCTGTCATTCTTCCTCTTTTCTTCTGTCACTCGTCTAGCTCTTATTAATCCTCTTTCCTGTCTTTACCACACACACACACACACACACACACACACACACACACACACACACACACCCACCCACACACCACACACACACACACACACACCCACACACACACACACACACACACCCCACACACACACACACACACACACACACACACACACACACCACACACACACCCACACACACACACACCCCACACACACACACACACACACACACCCACACACACACACACACCCACACACACACACACACACACACACACACCCACCCACCCACACACACACACACACCACACACACACACACAACCCACACACACACACACATCCCTCACCACCAGCTGATCCGCCTAACAAACAGTGGCTGACGATTCTCCAACACCACCACTCACTTTATTGCATGGATGCCTCCCTAGTGAGAGATGAGCAAATGGCGTAATTGAGGAAGGGTTTGTTGGCGGGAGGGGGTGGGGTGGGGGGTGGGGGGCGTCATGTGGTTGTGGGGTCAGATGACATGAGGGAAGAAACAGCTGAGGCGGGAACTAGTGTGTGTGTGTCTAGACCCAACCATTATAGGCATTCTTCTCGTTGTTAATTATCATGCTTGCTTGCTTGCTTCCTTGCTTGCTTAAAAGATCATCATAATACAATTTCTTTTCAATCCCAAGTCGTCATCTGGTTGTATGGTTCATATGATCGATACTTATAAACGAACGGATGTGTGATTACTTACTTGCCAGGTTATCTTGATCTGCCTAGTGTTTATCCAGACGTTTGGTGCGTGCTAAGGCTTACAGATTGGAACATTCATAGACCTTGATGTTGTCTTCCCACTTGTGTTTGGTCAGGTGTTACAGGTGTTTGATACATAGTGACAGGTGTTTGAGAGACATAGAGACAGGTGTTACAGGTTTTTGAGACATAAACAGGTGTTACAGGTGTTTGAGAGACATGTACAGGTGTTACAGGTGTTTGAGAGACATATACAGGTGTTACAGGTGTTTGAGAGACAAAGTGACAAGAAATAGTTGATGAAGAAGAGAAAGATGTCACCGAGAGTACAGGAAATGAAAAGATGTCACCGAGAGTACAGGAAATGAAAGGATGTCACCGAGAGCACAGGAAATGAAAAGATGTCACCGAGAGTACAGGAAATGAAAAGATGTCACCGAGAGTACAGTAAATGAAAATATGTCACCGAGAGTACAGCAAATGAATGGATGTCACTAAGATGGACAAACAAACACAGGATGTCCAGTATGTCAGCAGTAGAAGCAGCGGTGGTGGGGTTTATATTTACAACTCGTGACATCACCAGCCACTAGACCTTTACCCCACTAAAGCAGTTTCATTGTGTGTCATCATCTTCACAAACAATAAGAGAACGACTTGGAGGACGAGGATGATGATTTGGAGGACGATGATGATTTGGAGGACGATGTGATGATTTGGAGGAGGACGATGATGATTTGGAGGACGATGATGATTTGGAGGACGATGTGATGATTTGGAGGAGGACGATGATGATTTGGAGGAGGGCGATGATGATTTGGAGGAGGACGATGATGATTTGGAGGAGGACGAAGACGACTTTGAGGATGATGACGACTAGGAGGACGATGATGATGACTAAGAGGACGATGATAATGACTAGGAGGGCGAGGATGAGGATTTGGAGGACGAAGACGATGACGTGGAGGACGAGGATGTCGACTTGGAGGACGAGGCCAACTAGGAGGACGAAGACAACTAGAAGAGCGAGGACGATGACTTGAAGGACGAGTCTGACGAGGTTGATTATGACAAGGACGCCTATGATAACGTACTGTAGGGCGCTGGGTCATTATTTTTACCCCGCCCGTCCGTCCGTCCGTCCGTCCGGCAACTGGCAAAACATGACAATCCATAACAAACGGTGATGGATAATTTTCTTATTTAAATTGATCTTTTAGTCAAGACACAACCATTTCTTAGACGAGGTTGAAGTTTATCATTTTCTATAATGTCGAAAAAGACGTCAGGTCAGGTCAGGTCAGGTGATTAGCGTTACACCTGAGATACCAAGAGCAGGTGGAGGTACGGAAGAGGGAGGGGGAAGGGATGTATTAGTATTTATATATATTTTAGTATGTGGTTCGTCCATTCTCTCTCTCTCTCTCTCTCTCTCTCTCGTTACATCACTCGCCTCATGGTACACTTGGCAGCTCTCTTCCCCGGAAATTAAAGACTGTCCAATGTTAAGGCAGTAAGGAGAAGTCTGTTGCTGTTGGCACCTCATGGATGGATGGTGTGTGTGTGTGTGTGTGTGTTCAGTACTAATGGAGAGTTTGGCTTCTATCTTTGTTTACATTACGTGGGTGGATTTAAATTTGACTTCTCTACTAATATTGTAAAGAATTACGTAGAATATTAATTGGTAAACCTTAGATGGACTTGTTTATTTATTATTATTATTATTATTATTATTATTATTATTTTATTTATTTTTTTTTTAATGATGATAAAAAAAGATGTATATGTAGATATTATTGAAGCATAGATTACTTTCTGGGGTGAGAACAAATTATGAACATATTAGTCGAGGCTGATCAGGTAAATGAACGCACTTGACACGTTAGGTTAGGTTAGGGACAAAACACAACACTAACCACCAAAAATACCGTCAAAATGGCATAGAAATTACGCTGAGACTCGACCCTAACGACATACTTTCACTTTACACCAATTAGAAGATAAATTAACTAAGAGAATCATTGAGAATCCTGAGGTGGTTGTGATTCAGGATAGTGTCAGCTGTTTTTCTTAATGAGTCTAAAGATGTAAATAATGACTTACCTGTGTGTTAATAAGTCGAAAAAGCATGAACCCTCACGTCTCCTACCATCAACCCTCACGTCTCCTACCATCAACCCTCACGTCTCCTACCATCAACCCTCACGTCTCCTACCATCAACCCTCACGTCTCCTACCATCATCCCTCACGTCTCCTACCATCATCCCTCACGTCTCCTACCATCATCCCTCGCGTCTCCTACCATCAACCCTCGTGTCTCCTACCATCATTCCTCGTGTCTCCTACCATCATCCCTCGTGTCTCCTACCATCATTCCTCGTGTCTCCTACCATCATCCCTCGTGTCTCCTACCATCACCACCACATCTCCTCCATCTCCATCGTCACTTTCTCACACAGGTAAAGAGTAAACAGGGAGTTAAATTAGGCAATATTTACCCGGCAACTCCGACTGGGCCGCCATCTCTGTTGCCAGCTGTCGGCTCTCTCGCCCCTCCGGAAGCCAATTAAATTTTTTTTAAAACTTCCCCCAGAAAATTTTCCTCATTGGGGATTCTCTTAGAAGTTTCCTAATATTTTTCCTCGCCACCAGAAGCAGAGCGGAGTGATATTATGAGATAGGTAATGGGTGTAGTATAATCTTGTGTTGATATTCACTTATATTAAATTTTCCTTTGTATGTATTAACGATTAAGGTTTTTTTATAGTGTGTGTGTGTGTGTGTGTGTGTGTGTGTGTGTGTGTGTGTGTGTGTGTGTGTGTGTGTGTGTGTGTGTGTGGTAATGAGCAGCTGTTGTGGTCAGTGGAGAGCAGTTGTCTTAGGGGCTGATTAGTATAAGGGGAAGGATGACTTGATGTGGCTGTATTAGGCCGAGTCGAGGGATCACACACACACACACACACACACACACACACTAAGGCCTGACCCGGAATCTTATTGTTATTGATCGAATTGGCTGAAGTTTCAAGGACAAAGATAACTCACAGGACATTACTAACATTGTCTCAGAAAGTAAACATTGGTAGTGACTCGTGGTGAACGCATTACTCTGCTCACTCTCCGTCCACCTTGATTTATTACGGTTAATTGTATTTGAGATCATGACAGTACTTCCAGCTGTCGAGGTCCAGCAGTAGAGGGTTAGTGACCTACCGAGTGTGTCGACGAGTGGACGTGACACTCTCATAACTGGCGTGATAGTGACCCTCATATTGTACATTATAGTATGAAAGAAATATGACTAATCCTAGATGAATGATGACACCAAGCGAACACCAGTTTGTGATGACTGTACTGTACTGTGTTGTGAAGAAGTCGCATATTCAGTGACCTAAATTTACACCAATTTTTTTTTCTCTTTCGCAGGAGTAGAAAGATGTTGGAGGACGCAGATCGACCTGGGTTCTTCAAGGACTACTACAAGGCGGTGCGGAAGGCCACTTCTAATGACCAGTTCAATGAATTCTCCAAGTTGAAGACCGACGAGGAGCGTTTCCGCTTCTGCTTCAACCTCCCCGCGGCTCATGACATCGATATTAGAACATATTTCAAGGGCAAATCCGAGAAGGAGGCCATGGAGAAGAAAGAAGCGGGTAACAAGTGTTTTGGGAGAAAGAACAATGTGGAGGCTTTAAAGCTGTATAGCCAGGCGGTGGTAAAGGCACCTGTGCCCTCGGGTAAATATTGGAAGTTAATCAGTTGAGTAACCCCTGTTCGCCCTGTTCGCCCTGCCCACTCTCACTAATGCCGCGTCCTGGAGGTCGGGATGAAGGGAGGCGACGCTGCCTCACATAAAAACACTTATCATAAGGAATCACAAGACAAATGATCCCAGTGATACTAGTTTTTTAGATCCTCTCACCTGGGAGTAAACATGTCTATAGTCACCACGAGAATATATCCGTAATTTTAAACTTTCACTCACCCCGATAACAAAACGAGCGAACATTCCCAGGCTTCTGTGTTCATCAGACTGCGCAAGAACCATATTGTCGGACCTGTGTACATTGTCTCTAATAGATACATAAGTTGTTTGATATCTGTGTATGTTGAGACTTAATACACCTAGACCCCGACTTACGACGGGGTTAGGGACCCAAATCCAGGTCGTAAGTCCGACATGGTCGTAAGTGGAAACATAGATAAAATTTTTTTTTTTTTTTTAATAAATAATCTACAATGAAATACAGTACAGTAAAAAAGTAATGAATAATGAGGAATGGATACAGTACAGTGAAAGTAATAAATAATAAGGAATGGTTACAGTGTGACTGAGCACTTACCTTTAATGTAGTCAGCTGAATGCACATGGGGCCCCATAATTTTCTAATTATACATGGAGACTACATTAACTGGAAACGTTTCGGTATAGAAAATGCGTGTCATTTGAAGAAAATTTTATTTTATTTTTTTTTTTTTAATAAAAAATCTGCGGCGGTCGTAAGTCCCGACGGTCGTAAGTCCACGTAGTCGTAAGTCGGGGTCTAAGTAAAGACTGAGAATATACGTGTGTTGTGAGGTAAAGGTGGACGACTGGCGGAAGACTGGATTAAGTGTTAGGTGTGGTGTGTTTACAGTGTTAGTGAATTTTATAAAAGGGATTTCTAATATCCTTTTGAGTACGATTACTTAACCTTGAGTACGTTGACATAACCCCCTGTTATCTTACTCTGGGGATCGACCAGTGTACTCAAGGGGTTAAGATACCTCACTCAATATGTTAAACTAACACATATTGTCCCCAGGAATCTACCGTCGTGCTCAAGGGGTTCAAATAAGTTCGTAAATTCCAACACAAAAAAATCCAGATTCATAAATATTTTTCTATACAGTAATTTTATCCCTTAGGCGGGTATAAATTTATTTCATTTTAGAATTTATTTTTTGATTCCTGGAGTTTGCAACGTGATTAATGATGATTTGGTGATGAATAAGGAGACATAAAAGTGACAACTGATGATGAAGGAATGAGGAATAAAGATAAATCGTGTGTGTAAAAAGAAGCGAGTCAGTGATGATGGGGGTGATAAGATTGAATAATGTGAGGGAAATTTTGCCAGGGAAGATGATTTGAGTGAGAAGATGAGTCAAATATCATCAGGGAGGTAAATTATTAGGGAGGGAATACCGTGAGTGTGTGTGTGTGTGTGGCGGCGAGGAACTGTTGAATAAGAAACCAAGAGTGAGTGTTGATGGAGTTGTGGCTGACAGCTCCACCCGGTGTGCCTTAATGAAGACATGGGGAGCTCCAATGTGTGTGTGTGTGTGTGTGTATGTGTGTGTATGTGTGTGTGTGTGTATGTGTGTGTGTGTGTATGTGTGTGCATTATCAGTGCTTAAAGCTACAGTAATTTTCTGTTCTGAATACTCTATCTCCTCGGTTTTCTAATTTACACACAAAGTGATATTCTCATTAATTTTCTCTCCACAAAAAAAAATAAAAATTAAAACATGACATTAATAATTATACCGTACATCCATATTTTCATGTTCACATTTATTTTTCTCTTATGGTTCGTTCATTATTAATAGCTTTCGCATGAACTAAATATCTCATTATGTGTGTATGTGTGTGTGTCATGTTCCACTTGTATTAATCTTACCCATAACAACCTGGATTTACGAGTTCTATATTAGGATTTACTCTTCTTAATAATTTACTGTATTTCTAGAGTTAATCCTTGTCTAATATGATTATCATGTTAGTAGCATCTTAGAAATAGGTTAGGTTAGAGGTAGAGCTGGTTAGAGTTAGGTTAGGTTAGGTTAGAGGTAGAGCTGGTTAGGTTAGGTTAGGTTAGAGGTAGAGCTGGTTAGGTTAGGTTAGAGGTAGAGCTGGTTAGGTTAGGTAAGAGGTAGAGCTGGT